AAGAGAAGAAATTAAATAATTTTTTTTATTATGACTGTATTTATGCATAGGTGCAATATCTTTTTCATAGTATTTATGTCTTCTCATCATATCTCTGTTTTCTGATTTTTATTTGAATCAAATCCACTCAAGTTGCGATAATTTATCACTCACGGAATGTTTATAGAATCATCCCAAGACCATAACTTAGAACTGCTTTTAATTTCATTGCTTATTTTTATTCCTGACCTTTACATATTTAGACCATACGTACCATTTATGTACGTATTAATAAAAAGTTCCCTCTTAGAATTTGCAACCCCCCTTTTTTTCAATTAATTACCATAACTAATTCTTTTAAAGGATTGAAATAATTTATTTTTAACCCTGCTAACCATTCATCAAGATACAAATTTTGAAATCAAAATCTGCCCATGTATTTTTTAATCCCTAATGTGATTAATAAATTTCTGGTGAAATTTTTTGGGGCTTAACTTAAAATGCTTTAATTATAAGTTCTTAACAAATTCGTATTCATTAGCTTGTTCTTCATTTACACCACCTATTTGGCTTGACGTTCGAATATTATTAAGAATGAAGATACGTCTCCATCCGTTAAATCGAATTTTTGCATAAGACTTTTCAAATCAGTACATTTCTAGTTTTTTGGTGTGGTTATATTACTTTTCAATGATGTTTAGAGTATATTTTATTTTCATTTAAAAATTTTAGTTTTTACAATTCAAAATTCTTTTGTTTTCCCTAATGAAATTTTAAGTCATTTTAAGTTAAGCCCCAAAAAAATTTCACCAGAAATTTATTAATCATATCTTTAGTTTCTAATTGTATTTGTTTTTCACGCTCTTGAAATTCTTGCAGTCTTTGTTTTGCCTATTCTGCAATTAATTGTAATCTTTCATTTTCTTCTTAAGTCTTTCCTCAATAATCTTGTTTTACAATTAGTCAATCAAAATTTGTACTATTAGTGATGATGTTTTTAATCGTAACCACTGTGCTGTCTGGTGGAACCTTCGGCCCAACTTCTTACGCAAGTTAAGTCATTTTTATATCCTTTGCCAAGAAAAAAAAAGTTTTAGATACATTTGAAAGCTTTAAAAATAGAATGAAATATTTGCCTTTTCCATTTTTGCATCAGACCTTCAATAGCATTCAAGTATGACATTGGCATCCCACTTCTGAAATTTGTTGACTCTAAGCTTTTTCTTGCATGTATCCACTGTGTGTATCGTTTTAATTATTTTTCAGGAACAACAAACACTTCATTTGAAAAACCCATAAGTGGTTAGCATCGCCCCTTCCTTGTGGTTACATTTCGTCTCTCATATTTACATAATTACCTGTACTTTTTTAATGATCTTGATGTCATCTGTTGAACTGTTGGAAATTGCCAACTCAAGTCTTAAATTTTTAACGCAATAAACCTTACCTGTCAATTTCAGTTAAATCTAAACCAATGTGTGAGAAGTGAAGGAAAATAAAATGTACCTGAACTACCAAAATTATTTCATGAGTGCTTTCAAAGGCCAATGTTTATCATTTAAGTGATTTAACCAGTGCTTAAAAGATACAGTGCTTTGAAGGTTAGCTATCTGCTCATTAACCTACATTACTTCAGCTCTTCCACCGAGTAAATTCACTTTCTTTGTCACTGGTGCAAGATTGAACAATGTGCTTCAAGTGTAGGTGCGAGAAAATTATTTCGAATTGCTTCGCCAAATCACATTTATATTATAAATAACCTAGTAACTCATTTTATTCTGAAATTGAGCATGTGAAGTTATTTTCTTAACATATTGGTTTTTAACAAAAGGAAGCACTGTTTGATGAAAATATCAGACTAAAATTTGTAAGTACCAGAAATTCATTTTTGTATAATGTACTTTTAATGTTTTTCCATGATTTATTTGTAATGCTTTTAACGTTGTTTTTATATGCATGAGTTAAAGAATTTACTGAGTTTTGACTAAATTGTAAATGAAGACTAGATCTCAGACCTTAAAAATGTCCCATGAAAAATCGGAAATTGTGTCCATAGATAAGGATAAATTTGCCTGTCTGATATTTGATCCCCAAAAAGATCTTCCCATGGATATGTATTTTATATTTTTTGAAAAGAGATGTTGTGCAAAAGGAATTTCTGACAAAAAGAAATAGCGTTACTTCCAGATTTTTTAAAAGACAAGGCCTGATCTGTTATATATGTGAATGTATCAAAAGAGAATTAAGGTGCTATTGCTAGTTTAAAATAATTTAAATTAGCAACGTGAATTAATTTCTTTTCTCTATTCTAAAAATAGTAATATCTCTTTGCAGTGCGCTATTTTAAAATTAATCCATGTCATATGACTTACATAATTCTGATGATGTAAACGGAACTAAAACTCAAACAGCCAATAATAATTTTACAGCAATTATTGAATGTAGTGAGAACCAGAACTAACTCGGTCTGATTTAAAATTTCATCCTGAACATAATGCACTTGCTTTTCACTAGCTGGACTGCTATCTGCTGCTCTTTCCTTATTGCAAATCTATCATAAATGTAAACATTTTGAAAATAGGCAAAAATAATGTGCTAAGTTGTTTGCGGCTGCAGCATGCTTACTGAAAATAAATCTGCCTTGGTTGCCAGTTTCTTGTTCGTTATGGCTTAGCATTCTACAAATATGACTATCAAAATTCTTGCCCTTCATTACAGATTCAACCTTCTACATTCTACACCATCAATATTGTAAAATTCTTTTTTTATCACACAAACACACATATATATATAAAATATGTCATATTAATTTTTATTAACTAATAGAATATGAGATTAAACAAACTCCCGTTTTCCTGATTCTTGAATCAGATAAGAGACGTTTCCTTAATTTTTAGTATACAGTCAAAAGTCGTTAATTCAGACACCTATAATCCGGACCTCAAAGCTACAAACTTTCTGCGCGACGCATGCGCGTAAGACCTTTACGACTGTGAATATGCGTGTGCGCATGCGCATAATACGTTTACGCATGTGCGTTTAATGTATAACGGAGGGTATAAGCTAAGCTCAAATTATCTAATTCAGTTAATGTTGCAGATTGTGTTCCTTAATCTTCGAATTGGATCCGGCTTATTTTTTGAAGACTGTTAGAGCAATTTTATAAAAGTAAGCTTGAACTTTCGATTATGTCAAATAGAATTTCCGATATATATTTACTGATATGTAAAGGATCTACAAAGTGAAACTATGTTTAGCAGTCCATTAAACAAAAAGTGGAATTGCTGCAAAAAAATGGATAAAGGCATAATCCTTTGTTTATCTAACCATTCCGAAATCTGTTTATCAATTTCACGCTGCTCTGCGGCGAGGGGGGGAAACGTCGCGGCGCGCAATGAATTGGAAGTTGATCTGTCAGCACTATCCTTATCTTCGGGGCAGATGTTTTTATTTTATTTGGCTTATAATTCCTTTGAAATGTAGTATTTCATCTCGATGTACTCTCTTTGATATGATTTAAATCAAATTCCTCGTCATTATAATTTTCTTCCGATAGTGAAGAAAGTGACACAGAGGTTATTGAAAACAAAAAAATTTCGATTGACAAATTAGTCGGTATTCTCGACACAGCAATTATAGGACTTCAACAAACGGAACTTCGTAACTGAAGAAGAAATTATGTCTGTTTATAGAATTAAAAGAAAAAGTATTATCACATAAAATGAAGCAACTTAAACAACTTACATTGAAAGAAATGTTTAATAAAGTAAACAAATAAATATTAAGCTTTTTTTTTTTTTTTTTTGTGTGTGTGTGTGTGTGTGTGTGTGTAAATTTTGATACCCTTTAGATCATAATTGTTCTTTATTTCATAAATTACGGTTTTATATTTTTAATTTTATAATTTGTGCATGCCATCTTACCAGATTTAAACTGATGATCTATAATGCGGAAAAATCGATAGTCCGGAATCGCTGAAGTCGTGACGAGTCCGGATTAATGACTTGACTGTATATTCTTTTGTAATGATTGTATAGTTTTTTTTTTTTTTTTTTTTTTTTTTTTTTTTTTTTTTAAGAAAGAGAAACTTTTGCATACATTATAAAAAAAATTAAATGTATTATTCTTTAGGAAAAGGAAACTCGTTACTAAATATTTACATTTTCGCTAAACTTAGCTTGTGTGCTTTCATAAGTGCATATATAAATTGTGGTCTGAGTTGCCAAAAGATAAAAATATTTTTTTAGCCCAAAGGGGCTATAGCTCAGAAGGGCTATTAGTCTTGAAATGGCATTTTGTGTTGAATTACTAAAAGTGTTATATCACTTTGCAGATTGTTGCCACGAAATAGTATCACCGTGTGTTATAGTTAAAGAAATTAAATAATGGGGAATCTGCATGAATGTATGTATCTTTCTCACATTGTGAAAAACCATTTCAACACTGCAGCCATCAAATTTGAAATATGAGCAACCTGGAAGCCCGAATGTGGAATTTGTTTTATTGCCTATTTCATATTTTGTTAACTCAGTAATTTAAATGTGAGCATTGGCGATACCGTATGAGAGAAAAGCATTTTTATCACCATCGGGTGAGACTGTCTATCGGAAATTCTTAAGATAAGCCATTTAATATTTCAAAATGTGTATGTGTGAATGAAATGAAAAAAGTGCTCCTTTGGGTGTAGTATAAATCTGAAAGCTTTCAGATTTTTATTTTTTTATTTGCTGTTAATACAAGTATATATGCTTTTAGTTACAGCTTAATTTTCTGAAGTATCAGAAGGAGTTAAAAATAAATTTTAATTATCAGTTGTCGCTGCATTTCAGAATTTCTGAGATAAAACAATGTGAATTCTGAAGCAATTTTAATAAAAATGTTTTACTTATTAATATAATTATTTTATTATATTTTTATTTTATTTTTGATCAGTCGCTTTGATAAAGAAATATTAATGAATTATTTTATCATACTTTTCCTGTAAAATATATGTTATTGTAGTCATAATTTTCTCCACTTAGGTCTAGTTTATGCTCTTGGGCGTCATGATTATGGAAGACTAGGACTTGGTGAAAATTGTGATGAAAAATCCAATCCAACAATAGTTTCAACATTAGAAAATGAAAAGTGTACTGACATATCTTGTGGAAACTGTGTGTCCTTTGCTGTCTCAAACCAAGGTACATGAATGTTTATTACATATCACAAAAGTTGATTGCCGTGTTAGGTACTAACCTTTTAATCAAATTTTAATACAATTAAGTTCATTTGTACCAACTAAAATTTAGATCAAATTATTTACTGTTAGTACTTAAAGCCAGCAATGCAATTTTACATTAACTTTTGAATGTTAATTGTTCAAATGTGGAAAGTCTGGTTGTAAGTGGCCAGTTAAAGAGACCAGCTATGTTTGTTTACATTAGCTTCCTCTCCTTCCCTCCAACAGATCTTAAAACTGTGTTCAGTTCAAAAGGACACAGGATGCCATGTAGTTGTGTTTAAAAACAGATCAGCTTAAAATGCATGTATGCATCACCCGTCCTGTGAGAGCAATCTACAGTGGTGCATGAGTAGGGTGCCGGACTGTAAGAGGTTTGTGTGGGATGCCCATCTGGAAAGGGTTAATATTTAATTTATTATATTTAAATTTTGGTTTGCTTCCCATTTTTTATTTGAGACAAATGCCTGTCTCAGATTTAGTGTAGCTATGATGTTTTAGGTGAGTAAGTACAGTATCACTCGTATAATGTGGTTTCACTCTTATGTGATAAGAAAATTGGGGAAACCCTTATGTAGTGCTACAGTATGGTTTCATTCAAGCATATAATTAAATACGTGTAAACCCTCTTATAACATTTTATGCGTGTATATTTTTCAATAACCTGATTTTTATTCTAAATATTTACAAAAATAAGTTGTCTGACATTTCTAGCTAATTTTTATTTGTATTTATTTTTTATGGCTGCCATTTTTTACTTCCTTGTATGAAATAAAAAGGAAGTATTGTAATCACGAAAAATTTCTGGTATCATATTTCAATGAAAATATCCATTCTGACCGCTATCGAGTGCAATTTAACGATGTTTTTGCATGACATCTGTATGTAAGGACAGAATAAAGGACTCTTTCTCCCAAAAAATTTATAAAACTGATTTAAAATGTACTCTGAAGACAATTTTTCGTGGTGTCTTTACATACGTATGTATGTATGTATCTCATATAACTCAAAAATGGGTAGCCTCAAGTTGAAATTTTGTATATAGGATTGTTATAATGTATTGTTATAATGATTGTTATAATGTATCTTTAATTGAATTTAATTTTTTTTAAAATTCGGTGAATAAATGGTATGTACATCTATATGCACCGTTATGTGCATATAGATGTACACGTCTTTTTTGGTAGCAAACGGCCACACCAAAAGTTTATATACATATATATACTCACTCTGTTACTCGGCTTCAGGAGCTCAGTTTCTTTTTCTTTTATATGTTGCATGTGTCCATTATATGTAAATTGTGCATTTTTTGCTTTAAAAATGAGTGAATTATGTTCTTATTTTCCAGTTAAGGTTCTTATGCCTTTAGTTAACCTGCATGTTATAGCTGTAGAATTATCAACAATTGAAAAGTTGTTTAAGTGCAGCTAGCTAAGCCTAATTTTAGTTTGCCATAGCAGCTATATTTGTTTACATTTGAAACTTAGCAGAATAGTGGATTTGTCGCCAATCTAGAGAAACTAAGCTTCGTAACAACAAAGTAACGTCTTCTTTTATTATTGAAAATTAAATTATGCTTAATCCATTCTGGAATTATCATGTAAGTTATTAAATTATCCCACATATTGACTCAGCATAACGTTCACAACAAATGAAGTCAATTTCTACGCCTTCAGTGTCTTTTTGCGAAGTGAGACCAAATGTAAACTTTCAGTTATGTGCACCGAAAAATCTGTCTTCTTACACCCTGGCTGAATTGCTTGTTTATGTGTAGAAACTGTAATTTTAGTTGTAATTTTTTTTTTAAATTATTTTAACTGTATTTGGCGATTTATGTTTTTTTATATCTTTAAATTTTTACTGGAGATATTTTGTGTTTTTATTTCTTTTTGCCTTGCCGCGAAGTGAGAACTGAATTAATTGAATGAGAAATACATCTCTAATGAAATTCGAGAAAATAAGTGTATTAGAGGAAAATACACTGTTGCCAGTCTGTTTCAGACAGAGGAGAATGTTTATGAGTAGCGCATGTGCATTAGGTAAGCAGCGCTGAGTAGTCTTTGAAAATTGTTTAATTTCTTTTATACATCGCTTTAGATTTATTATAGTATTTGAATAGAACATGTGGCAACAATTAGATAATTCTTCAGATGATATAAATTTTGTGGATTCTGAGTTATAAAATGAATGGTATGCAACACTGTTAAGTGAATCTAGCGCCACAGTATCGTTATGGTAAATTAATATAGTTAATTTAAGAAAGCATATTTATTGGATTGTAGTTTATGTGCTGTTAACAAAGTAGATTTAATTCAATAAGTTTAAATGAAATGCAGGAAAAATGTGTATAATTTAATATTCCGTACAAGGAAATCGTGGTGTAAACATCAGATTTTTTTTCCCAAAAACATTTTCTAGCATTTTGCTCTTACAGAATTGGTTGTTATTATGTTTTCTTTTGAATTTTAGACCTTGCACTTCGAAAGGCTTAGAGGGATTTGAAAGCAAGATCTATAAATCTACAGTTTCCAGAAAAATATGATGAAATGAAAAGTGTCTTCATGGTATTAACATGCAATGGGCTTGTTATAGCATACTTGTTTTTATTTTTGGAAGAACAGTCAAAACAAAATTATTTGAATTATCTCATTTTGATCCCAGAAGTCTTTCTCTTAACTTGTTTATCTTCCTTTTATTTTCTCATCTTGACACAAGCAATTATAAACAGCAAAGAAGTTGAAAACCGATGATCTATTAAAATATTTATATGTATCAGTGCACTATGTCTACCTCAGTCCCTGCCCTAAATTTTAAAAATTTTGCTGTTCCTAAGTTTTGCTGCTCGGTGCTTCACTAAATTCTAAAAATTCTGCCACTCTGTTTCTAATGCCAATCTTGACCTTATATCATTTCATATTTATTCTCAATTCTCATATTAAAGAAATAGAATCAACAGTTTCTTCAATACATTCTAAGTAGAGTCAGTTCTTTAGAATAAGACATAATAATCTTTAATTAATCTGAAAATTTTAAAATGTTGAGGAAACTCATTGAAGAAGAAATTACTCTTATAAGGAGAGAAAATTATTCTTAAAGGGTATATTTTTTAAACATTAACATATTAGGAGATAAAGCAAAACTAGTGGGAACATTGATTTGTTTAGTGAAGCAAATAGAAAAGATGCTAAAAAGAAGGAAATTTATGTAAATTAGATAAAATATTTGGAAAATTTCTGAATTGAAAAAACGCATAAACATTTTGTTGCTAGAAGACATAAGCATTTTGTAACTTTTAATTATTATATTAATGTCATTTTGGAATTAAAATCATAAATTGTAACTGCTGTAGTGCTTTTTAATATATATTTTTTAGGAATAAAAAAAAGTTTTAAATTATAACCATGTGAACCTACTATGACCAAGAGTATCTAGCTATGTAATGTATATAACAGGGGTGGCCAAAATTTGAGATTTTTCGTGAGCTGCAATTAAATACATATTTAAAAGGTATGCAAAAAAGGTATTAAAAATTTTTTTACAGAAATTATATTTATTGAAAACATAGAAATAAAAGTACAAAATATGTGTATTGAATTTAAATATTAAAAATTCAACACATTTATTTTACTTCTCTTGATAATTCTTTAATTGAATTTAATTTTCTTGAAATTTGGTGAATAATTGGTGACAGCACTTCTCAGTAATTCTTTGAGTGCTGGTGAGTTAATACTGATCGGTGTTTGGATTTCACGAATTTTAAAGTGGAATAAAATGATTCACATAAGTGCGTTGTTCCGAATATTGAAATAATTCAACAAGCAGCTTTTTTTAATTCAGGATGCTTCGATTCTAGTACAAATTTCCAAAATTCAGTAATCGGCCTCGACGTATATTTTAAATGTAAAGCTTTATCTTCTTGCGCCTCTATTAATTCTAATTCTCCAGATGCTTTTTGGGTCATAATTATATGGAAAATGGAAAACTCACCTTGAATTATGTTAATTTCAAATGGATTCAGAAAAAAATCTAGAGATGTTTAAAATATTTCAAGTCTTGAAATCTATTTTGGAATTCCGCCAATATTCCTTTTAGCTTTTTTATATACTCGTTGAGTTTTTGTTGTTTAATATCGGACAAAATTTTTTTAATTTGAGGAAAATGACAAAATGTTTTATTTTTAATGTCCTTTTTTTAAAAAATTGTAATTTACTTTGAAAACTAAAGAGGTCAGATATTATTTTATCTTTTCCCTGCAATTGTAAATTCAGTGTTTGCAAATGTTCCATGACATCAGTCAAAAATATTAAGTTTGTAACCACTCATCATCGTATGTTCTCGGGGAATTATGCAGTGAATTGGTGTGAATTATGGAATTTGAGCTCTTAAAAGCCCAATAAGACCGATTTTTTTACCCAGCATTGTTGGAGCTCCATCGGTTGCAATGCTTACAAGTTTATTAAGAGGCACATCAAAAGTTTTAAATATGGAATCTAATGCATTTTTAATATTGACACAGCGAGTTGACTCTTGAAGTGCTACTAAATCTAATAATTCTTCTTTAGCAACGAAGTTAGGTGAAACAAAACGGATGAAAACTGCCAATTGCAGAAGATCTGTGAAGATCTGTCGATTCGTCAAGGGCTAAGCTGAATGCAATACAGTTCTTCAAATCATTTTAAAATTATATTCAAGAGATGTATTAATTGCAGTTATGCGTCGTTTGGTTGTGTGTCTCGAGATGGGAATTTGCGAAACAACTTTGTGCAATGTGCAATGCTGCATTATTTGGATCTAAAACTTTAAGTACATCTTCCAAGTTTTTTTTTTTTTTTTTTTTTTTTTTTAATAAACTCTCTCTCTCTCTTTCCATACGGGCGTTTTGCACGAGCAGTATTCCAGGTAATAACAAAACTGGCTTCAGTCACATTATTAGCTTGATTGCTAAAGGTCATCAAAATAGAC